AGAACATTTTATGCGTGGTCTTCTCGTTTGTGACACTTATCAAAGGATTATATCATCTCCCGCATAAAGAGATCATATATATATACTTGAAACGAGCATTTTCCGCATTACGCGCTTACGGTATAAAATGCACCAACTACAAAACAGGAGATTGTTAAGCGTACCAAAAAACATGCCGTTCTTCCTGGAATGATGAATTGAATATGACCACTTATCGCATTTTCACTCACGCCGGACTCAAACCACCGCTGGTTGAGTTCGTTGCATGCCTAAATGCGAAAGATAAGTTCAATCATAACGTCAGCAACTTTAAAACAGAGCACAAACCGTATTAATGGTCATACGCGCTTCGTAGTTGTCCACACAACTCAGTACTAGATCCACCTGCCCGTTACTCAAACTACCGTATCTGTAAAGACAGCATTCTTGGTTAGAGAATTTTGGCAGTATTTAGATTACTTAATTCGATGCGTAAACTTTTCATAGTTCTTTAAAGTGGTAATGTTGTAGCTTTGCACCTCTATCTCTACATCAGGGTTGATCGAACTAAACAGCATATGTGAATATAGTCAAACGAAGTAATTAACAAAAATTTCAAGGTGATAGGCCTTTCATGGTTGGCAGCAAGAGAAAACAAGAAAAACATCGTTTAATTCACAACAATTACAACATTTCAACCGAATTGCATCGGTCATCATCAGGGAATGAACACGAAACAACGACAAACTGCTGAATCAGCTGGCAAATGACCTGATTGGCTTAACGCTAGCTCGGTCTCCGATTAAGCCATGAATCATGCTCCATGCCGCAGAAATATCAAAGCAGCCAATGCAACCGTTGGAAGTGTAGCGACTCCTCGATTAACAGCCTCATATTGCTCTGATGACGATCAACCACCGCTGCTTTGCTGTTGTTAAAATCATAACAGTTCTCCAAGGCATGAGCAACAAAACCAGAATAATGAACGTTACGGTACTTGACTGTCCTTCTGTGTTCCGCTAATCTCATTTTTAACGCTTGACAGGTCTTGTCAGTATATATCTGGTCACAGTTATTGCAAGCTATACTATAGACCACGTATTACTCTCCACGTTGGGGTGAAGATCAAGCTTTTTGCACAGTTGGTTTCCTAAATTTTTGCCTCTTCAGAAAAATACATTGACTGTAAGTTTTTAAATAACGTCTAATTTCTTCGTATGATATATATATATATATAATGAAATGGGAGAATTATAGTCAGAAGAAAGGACGGGACCAAACTTGAGGCGTTTACCGAGTCAACTAAATATTG